TGCCGAAGCCACTACCACTTCGAATGGGCCTACAGGGTCACACATCATTAGGGATGGATCATACGTGAAGAGAAAGACGTGAGAAAGAACGACGGAACGAACTGGAAGGGTTCCAGACGGCCAGACCGTCCGGTCCAGGCCTGGACCAGACGGTCCAGCTGGGTCAGTTCGTCCGTTCCATTGAGGAACAGACCGACCGTTCTGCAAGCGCCAGACCGTCCGGTCCAGGCGTGCAGACCGTCCTTTCCACATAAGGGTCAGGCCGTCCGGTCCAGACCTAGACCGGACGGTCCGAATTTCGGAAAAATTTCCTTTTTGCGATTTTTAGGGTTTAGGCAATCATATTAATCATGGTAGCCGCCACAAACCCAAGGTAATCAGCCTAACACGTTCTATACACTTCCTAGAGCCTTTGAGAAGCTTTCTCTTGAGTTCTAAACCCCGTAATATCGATTCCAAGTCAAGGACGTTGTTTTCTCTTCACAAATCCTAGCAGATACGTTCCAAAGTGTTGGAATTCATCCCGCCGGTGTGGATACGTGTAGAGGAATTGTACTTTCAACTCTTGGTGATTAAAACAGGTCCTGGATCGATTGATACTTCCAGATCTTGATAGAACGAGGTAAGTATTCGAATCCCACGGTGATATACATGTTCTTTCGGGTTATTGCACAATTGGTTTTGTGTGACGTTTGACTAGGTTTAGATCTTTTTCTTCTGCTGCATGAAACTTAGAAACCAAACCCTAGATCGATGAGATCGCATGCTAGGAACCTGCAGAAAATCTAACATTGGTCAGCCGGACCAGCAGGCAGATCAGACTCCGGACCACGTGTTGGTCAGGAGGACCAAAGTCCTCGCTGGTCGGCTCTGGACCAAAAGTTGGTTCGGCTGACTAAGCGAAGACAGTGCAGGTCCGAGATGAGGGTTGGCGGACTGACTAGAGGAAACAGACTGAGTTGGTCTGGAGCTGACCAAGTTTGATCAGCCTCGGACCAAGCCCAGTTGGACTACGCTCCGTTTCCTTGGTCAGCTTGAGCGGAGAAGAGGATTGAGTTGGTCCGGAGCTGACCAAGAGTTGGTCAGCCCCGGACCAAGCTCAGAATTTTCTCGAAACATGACTGAACGACGGATCAGAGAAGCTGACTAGGTCAGTCTGGCGGACCAGATTCTGGTCAGCTCCGGACTAGAACTCAGACACTACTCAAGTCCGAATTTCTGTCATTTTCCTTATGATTAATCTCAAGCTATTACCATCCATTAGTAGAGCAACTGTCAAGACCTCGATCGTCATGGTTACGGGTCATACCCTGCTGAGCATGCCTGACTATCTTAGTGAAGCAGTATGGAGAAATCGTGATTCTCATAACTCGAATATGGTTGAGCTTATATTGGGTTAAGTCGGACTTTGACCTAGGGGCCGACTGTTTGCACCGCCGCCACCCGCAAACGGAGCGGTTGCGATTTCCGGCGGTTGCGGGCGATTGAAAAACTGACTGGTTGAATCGCAACCAACCGCAACCAAACTTGTGTTTTCTAATCGCAGCTTCCAACTTGCGTTTTGGTAGCGGTTTCCGGCGTTTTGACAAAAAAAAACTAAAATATTTTTATTAGAATTTATATAAAACATTAATATATATATTGGTGATGATTTTGTTTAGTGTTGGGATTTTTTTTTACTTGAAAATAAATTAAATTGATAATATTTTTATTTTAAATTTATTATTTAATTATTATAAATTTAGTAAATAATTTTAATTAAATGATACGAAAAATTTAGTTAAAACTGTTATAAAAAATTATTTTTAAATAATATTTTTTTTGACAATTTATATCAAAACGCAACCGCAACCGTAATGAACCATTCACTTCTAACTGCACCCACCCGCAATCGCTACCAACAACAACTTTTCAACCAGTCAGTACTAATCATTTATAATCGCTATCAAACGTTTTGAAAACACTGCCACCCGCAACCGCAACCGCTGCGGTACAATCAGTCGAACCCCTAATGGTAAAAGTAGAAGAAAAAAATGGTTTTGATCGAGGGAGAAGGACGGTGTCGATTTTAACTACCTGTGCTCATCAATGTCAGGAGCTAAGTTCAGAAGATTACTGCCGTGAGGGAGATCGTCGGGTGAGAGACAAGCGTGTGGGAGATCGGTGGGGAAGAGAAGGGAGAGTGAATTTAACCAAGAGTCATGTTGGGGAGGGAGAAAGATTTTAGGTTAGTTTTTTTTACATTGTCGGTTTAGTTTGGTAAACCGATTTTACTTGCATACCAAACTGATTCAAATTTATTATGATGTGGCATGCTGATTTAGGAAAAAAAAATATAATGTGTTATATTACGTCAGCGTTGAAATTGACAAAATTTAACATTGCTTATGATTATTTCATAAATTGCAATACATTTTATGATTTTATGATTTGGTGTGAGATTTTGGAAAATTTTAATTTTTGTTTTAGTTTGTATTAAATTTGAAATGGATGTAAAATTAAAAATGTTAACAAAAATTTATGGGAAATATGCTAATTTGTCTAATTTTTATAATAAAACCTGAAATTTAAAACAAATTTTTATGGTTTTCGAGAGTTATTTAAAAGTTTATAATTTAATTTAATAGCGATTTTTGTAAGTTGTTTAAAGTTTAAGATTTTATGTTATTGTTTTAAAAAGTTTCCTAAAAATGTATATATGGTTTTTAAAATTTTAGAATTCATATATTTTATTTCGGATTTTAAAATGGATTTATTGATATTTTACATTTGAGATTTTAAAATGACATTTGCTAAAAAAAAAAGTGGAGATAAATAACCTGTCAAGCTTCAGGGACTTCAACGTTTTCCCTCTTTCAAATTTCAAAAGTTTCTCAAAATATCCTCTCTCCTCTCTCTCTCTCTCTCTCTCTCGATCTTCTCCGCCTTCCTCGGCGAAGATCTTCTCCGCCGTTCCTTGTCGGCGGTTCCTCCTCTGCCGCTTCCTCTTCTCCCTATCGCTTCAAAACCTTAAAAAAAAACCCCACAGGGTCTCATTCTCACGCGCTCCGTGTCTCCGGCGCCGATTTCAAGCTCCGACAAGGTGTAAACTCGAATCTTACCGTCTAGTTCAAACACATCGCCCAGTTCGAGTCGTGTTCTTCAGACCATCGATTTCTGCGGTATGAGTCTGTAAGTGTATGTTCTTGGATTTATGAGATTTGCATGTCTAAGGCTAGGTTTCGGTATAAAATAGAAAAACCCTATTCCAGAAAACAAAAACCGATGTTGGTCAACCCCCATTCTACACCAATTCAGTGTATGCTCTTTTCCCTTTGTTCTCTTACGGGTGGTCCAGAATCCAGTTTTCTGTACTGGATTTTTGTGCCAAAGTATGTTTGATTTGCTGATTCTTTTTCTCTAGTCAAATGGGAAATTGAAATGCAGAACAGTTTTGAAATGGCTTTCTTTTTTACAAGTCCTGTGATGCAGATTCTCGTTTTATTGTTTTGGGTTATGGTTTCATAGCATGTTGAAAGAATATAAGATGTTCTTTATGTGTCAGATAAAGAAGACAATAGTGCTCTGATATGGGTGTTGAAGATTATCATGTGATAGAGCTCGTTGGCGAAGGCTCTTTTGGGAGGGTGTACAAAGGAAGACGAAAGTACACTGGCCAGGTAATGTGTAGTTTTGTCACTTCTGTTTATTTTGGGAAGCTTGGCGAGTCATATAGTTTTTTGGATGACATTTCTGGTTTTTGATCAGACGGTTGCTATGAAGTTTATCATGAAGCAAGGAAAGAGTGACAAGGATATTCAGAATTTGAGACAAGAAATTGAGGTGAATATTTCCCTCTTTCAACGCATGCGGTTGGCATGCTACACTGTGTATTATCCCAATCGTTTGTATTTTCCCTCAAAATCTTGGATACTAACAATGTGTTCTGTATGCTGTAGATACTGCGAAAGCTGAAGCATGAAAATATCATCGGAATGCTCGATTCCTTTGAAAATGCACGAGAGTTCTGTGTTGTCACCGAATTTGCCCAAGTACTTTCCTTTTTTTTTTTTAATTTCTGAAATCCTGTCTGAAATCCTGTAGTTCATTTATGATTTATCATTGATGCTGCACCAAATCTTTCAGGGTGAATTGTTTGAGATTCTTGAGGATGATAAGTGCCTTCCTGAAGAGCAAGTTCAGGCAATCGCAAAACAGTTGGTAATTTTTTTTTTACTAATCAGGCTATGGTTTTCTCATTAGCACATAGTTCTCTAATTGTTGCCTGTAATATGCCAATGCCCAATTTTTTTTCATGAAAATGCAGGTAAAAGCATTGCATTACTTGCATTCTAACCGTATAATTCATCGTGACATGAAGCCACAAAACATTCTTATTGGTTCTGGGTCTGTCATTAAGGTAATATAGCTCCCTGTTAGACAGAAAATACTGGAAATGTTGACTTCCATGCTTTCTGTCCTCTGGCATTATTTACTGATCTTTTGTATTATAAGGGAAAGGCAGCCAGTTAAGCAAATAGGCTTTGTTTGGTTTGAGGTGAAAAACAGATTGATATATTTTTATTCTTGTTCTAGTTTGGTTTGAAATGAAAAGAAGATTGATATATTAATAAGTTCCTTACTAGCTCTTTGAAAATGAGCAATGGTATTTGGATGTTTCACTTTGTGATTGTTTCAGCTAAATTGTCAGACACTGGTCTTTATTGCATGCTGCTTGATTATGTGTTTGTGTTTTTTGTTTGTCTCTTTATTAACAGCTCTGTTTGTTTGTTCAGCTTTGTGATTTTGGTTTCGCTCGTGCTATGTCTGCAAACACTGTGGTCTTGCGATCCATAAAAGGTTCACCTCCTTTTATTTTCATTTAAACATATGAACTGGTTGATAAACTCATAAGCCATGTCTTGCTAATTCTGCAATGATGAAACCTGACCTTCCTTCAGGAACTCCGCTGTACATGGCCCCAGAGCTAGTGAGAGAACAGCCTTACAACCACACCGCTGACCTGTGGTCTCTTGGTGTGATACTGTAGGTGGACACAGTTACTTTAGTAGTCCAACCTTTTTTTTTGTGCTAAAAGCAATTATTCAGAAGTATCTTTGTTACGGGATGGCTATAAGCCAAATAACAATGGGGTCTTAGGATTTATGTTTTTCTTCCCTGTTTACCTTTCCATAGAGTTTAATTTGATTTTGTTAATTAAAATATGGATCAGTAGTAGTGTGGAGACCAGCTCTGCTAAAGTATAGATCAGTGGTACGGAAATTAGTTCTCTAATTCAGTAATTCTAAGCCCCTTGTGTCTTTATCTTGATTATTATGCATGATTGCATTGATTGTCAACTTGGGGAGATTGAAAGCTCTATGCTCATGGCTAGAACTAGAATGCAAGCTGAGATTAATTTCTGTTGTTGTTTACCTATTTTGTTTCCCTTTTTTTGATAAGGAGCAGTTCCATATTTATCAATTACAATTTTACTAGTCATAGCACATTATTTCTACTACCACTTTCATGCAAGACTCATGATAGGAGAAATGTTTTTGGTGATTTTTCTTAGTCTAGGACGCTCACTTTCCTTCCAATTCTTTTGTAGTTGTGTACTTGTACCTCTTGAACTGTACTCAGATGGTTTTTGTAGTGTTGGTGCTCATTCTTTAGTTGTACATCATAAATTGCACCGAAGATGGTTTTAAGTATTGCCTTGCCATAATAGAAGCTTCTTTATAAAATAACTAGCTTCAACGCCTCAGTTAAGAATGACGAGCTCAGTTATTTACGATGTGTGAATCATGGCGACTGCATTTTGTCATCTTTCGTTTTCCTGCAATACAACAGGTATGAATTGTATGTTGGTCAACCCCCATTCTACACCAATTCAGTGTATGCTCTTATCCGTCATATTGTTAAGGTATACACTTCTTCCTAGGTTTGTGCATGTCCTATGCTCAGAAATTGAGCTAATGTTTTAATATATATTGCAGGATCCTGTTAAATATCCAGACGAAATGAGTCCGAATTTCAAAAGCTTCTTGAAAGGATTGCTCAACAAGGTTAACAATACTCTTCTGTGATATCCGATCATATTTATCTGTTATGCTCGAAATTGCCTGAAGTTGAATTCTCGACTGCTCTTTCTTATCATGTGTTAAAGGTACCCCATAATCGACTAACTTGGCCTGCTCTTCTTGAGCATCCATTCGTTAAAGAATCACAAGAGGAAATAGAAGCCAAGGTCAGAATCTGATATTTTATAAATTTAGTTAAGTATCTAATGTATAGATCATTTACTGGACTGGAATAGTCTTTCATTCAGCCAGAAGGATTTTAATTGGGACCCTTCTTGGATTGTTAGACTATTACTAAACATTTTTTGATCCACCATTCAGGAAATGCATTCTGCAGTGGTTGAACAAAACACGGTTTGGAGGCTCAAAGGGAACAGTATCCAACTGCGAACTGGTTTGATTTTCTCCAGTCTGCACTAGTACATTTAACTATTTCTGCTCCTCTCTTAATTGTCAAATATTGACATGTGACAGAACAATCTGATTCTGAGGCCATGGTAGAAAACACCACTAATCCAGGCGTTGAAAGGGATCTTCAGTCGACTATCAAGAATGCTGTCAAAGTAAATTCTCCTTCTCCTGAAGAGCTCTTTGGATTCCCAAGCCATGGGGAGATAAAAAGTTCAGGTAATGCAGGTAATGAGAGGTGCTTTTGTTAATTTTAAGAATGTGCTTTTTATCAAATAGATGCAAAAAAAAAAAAAAAAAAAAAAAAAAAAAAAAAAAAAAAAAAAAAAAAAAAAAAAAAAAAAAAAAAAAAAAAAAAAAAAAAAAAAAAAAAAAAAAAAAAAAAAAAAAAAAAAAAAAAAAAAAAAAAAAAAAAAAAAAAAAAAAAAAAAAAAAAAAAAAAAAAAAAAAAAAAAAAAGAGAGAGAGAGAGAGAGAGAGAGAGAGAGTACCGGATTCTATAGTTTTCAGGAATAAAAAAAAAGAAAAAAAAAAAAAAAAAAAAAAAAAAAGACAGCCTGCATATAATTGTGACAACTTTTTTTTTTTAAAGTCTGTAATAACTTAAATGACAATACACGGTAGTTTCTGACGGCAGGTCAAACTTATATTGGGAACACTTCTCATCCAATAATGTTAGTTACAGCTCAGTGGTTTCATGCTTTTCCTCCCATGCGTCTAGAGCATCCAGTCTGCATTTGACTTTTAATTAGTCATAAACCTTGTACTTGTATTGCATTTGTACCGTGTCATATCTAAGATTTATTTTGTTTAATATCCATGGCAAAGTGACGTTGGATGTTTCATAATCTTGTTTAGCAGATCGGATATTTCCTTCATTTTGTAAATGCACAACACGGCTACCTTTTTTTGTTAAAAGAAGAAAATAACCCATGATCAGAGGATTCAATTTAGCTTCACAGCTGATGTTCTTCTATTGTCTCTTTGCATCTTAGTGGGACTGTAGAAAACTGATATGCCCCGATATGCTACACATACCAGCGTCGGGGTAGAGAGGTGCGTAGGGAGGCAAAGGGGTTCGAGGGCTGCGGTCCGAATATAACTTAGCTGAACTGCTTGGTTTTGTGCTTTGATTTACTTGGTTTGAGCTTTATTTTCTGTTCTAATGTTGGGCTGGGTCAGGAGAATTAGGAATAATGGACTGAGGCCTAGGCCTAGGCCTAGGGATAACTCCCTAGGGCTGGCCGAGAGTTGTAGCTGCCTATGAAGGTTGATCGAGAGTTGGAGCCGCCTTTGAAGGCCGGCCAAGCTCCCTCTATATATAAGAGGAGTATTACTGCATTTCATAAAGATTATCACAGAGTTTGATCACCATCAGGAGAAAGACCTACCACATCACGGGGTTGTCGGTTTCCTTAAAAATTGATACTTTTGCTTGGTAGAATCCCTGAGTTCTATCAGAAACATAATTTTATCACTTTGGTATTCAAGACAGAAAAACCTTAGAAGAAATTTTCTATGGAATTTCTTGGTTTCTGTGCTTCATTTGCAACTGGACTATTTGCCATATTTATTCATTCTTGTGCTGTTATTTTTCTTCAGGTAATGCAACATTAGACAGATTGGAGAATATGTCCCGCACTGTTAAAGGTGCAAAAGGTATTGGTGAAGACGAGGAAGCACTGGCTCTTGTTTTGCTACCACTGGAAAGATGGTTTAAACCATCACCCGATTCTAACAGGTTAAAAGTTGTTGGCCAACTTGTTTTGTTTTAGATTATTATCGTTTGTTTCAAATAATCATACCAGTGCTGAGACTAGGGTTTAGGGTGAAGTTTTCTTCTATTTAGTTTTGATTTGTCTCCACATAATCACCAAATTGAACCTCATATGCAAAATCGGTTATTATTTTACAGCCTTGACATTATTTTTTGAAGTTCAGATGTGATGGATTTTTTGTGTGTTCTTTCATTGGTCATTTTCTCTGCTATAAAGCCTTCTTATTTGTTGAGAATTCTATGAATGCTGCTTATGAAGTATGCTCATGCAATGTTGGGTCTTAAGTTGTTAGTGAATATCCTGTGGAAACGTATATGACTGATTGCTAGTATAACTAAGTTGAATTTTTATCCTTTCTGTAATAAAAGTCCACATATTTCTTATCTAGAAATTTAGGAGATTTTGTCTGTAGGTCTGGTCAGCAATGCTTAGTTTGTTCTTTGTATGTGTTAATGAATAGGATTTGGATGAATCATCATTATCATTGGGTTTTTCGATGCAGCATTTTATGCCTTCAACATTCTTATATTTTTAGTGTCATGCTTTCCCTGTCACTATAGTTCTGTACCTAGTTCTCATGTAGATTTTGGGTTGTTGCTTATTGGTCTTACCCTGTCTTTTTTGTTCTGTGGAAGTCCTAGGAACGACTTCGACAATTGCTCTATGGAATTGTTCGATTCTAATATAACTTCAAATATTTCGATCTTCCTTCTAGTCTTGGCATTGACGCGGCTCATATAGTGGCTGTATAAGATCTGGATTTGTGGACATCTCAAAGTTTCTGAATTTAGGATACTTATCCTTCTTTACTGTCTATAAATGACCATATAAACATGTCGATATGATAGGAATCTGATTGTTATTTAGTTGCATCAAGCTATTCTTGTATACTGGCTGGTCTAGAATTTAAAACTTTTTTTTTTGTGATCTTTTACACTCTTCCAGTGACTTGTTGCAATCCATGATATCTTCTGGTCATCGCATGCACACATAACATTTTCAATTCTGATGAATACACAGGAACAAAGACGCTGTCTGCTCTGTTCAGTCCCTCAGGATCCTTTCCAATTTGATTGCAGCAAGTGCCATAGTTTCCGATGAAGTGATTGACAAAATAACATGTGTCCTGCTAGATTTTACTGCTGCTCTTGTTGGGATGAAATCTTCAGACGTCAACAGCATAATAACAAAGGTGAATGCTTGTTCTCTTATGGAGGAATTCCTCATTTGAAGATGTTTATATTTCATGGTTTCTGGCATTGATAACATTGTTCTTGTCACTTTCTGAGTTTAGCTATTGTTGTGATATACACACATTTCTGCTTCAATTAGCAAACATTTCACATAACATGTCATGGAAATATTTCTTTTATAGTAATGTTGATTTCAGTGTCTCGCAACTGCTGTTTGAACTTTATTTCAATTGCAGAGTTTTTCAGTACTTCGAAGCTTGGTAGGAGACATGGGAGGCGGTAGCATCCGTCATTCTTACATCAAACATTGGACCAAATTAGTGGATATGTTTATGCAGGTAAGCGTTCTTTTAACGTTCATTTATGGTGCAGTTAATGCACGTATATCTAATTATTTCGTTTTTTTCGGTATTGATGTAGGTTGTTGGATGGGGAGAAGATGGAAATGGGAGAATTTTATATGAGTCCTGTGCATGCATTAGAGTGATGTTGTCTCGAGTCGCACAAGATCTCAAATCCTCTAGCACCCCTTCAGCTTGTAGCACAGATGGAGTATCTAAACAGATTTTGGAGCATGCTAACATGTCCCGCATGGTTGATCAGTTGTGCCTTTGTTTGGCATCTTCTGGATCAAGTTTAACTTCTGGCTCCTTGAACATGTTACCGTCTTCCTGTGAAGCTTGTAGGGCAATATGGATACTCATAGATGCTTCTGAAACCCTATTTATAAACGAGAATGTCAACCTATTCCCTCTAGATGCTTTCCACGGCCATGGTTTTTCTCAACTTGATCCAAGAAACTCTGAATGGGGTCCACTTTCTGAAAAAATTGTTGAGACTGTAACACGGGCATTTCTCAGATCAAAACAAGTGCAAGTTGCTGTCAGTCACTGTCTTCGCCAACGTGTCGAGGCTCCATTGGGTGCTGCTATTCAGGTGATTATGTGATGTTGCTTTCCACTATTTTGGTAGTGTTACGTTAGAAAAGTTACCGGTTTTTTGGTCCAATTTCTCATGTAACTTTCTTGGTCACCTTAAGCTTGCATTTCTGTTGTTGCTCCTGTTGAAGTTTAGTTGAAAATGTTATTCTTTTCTTTAATGTTTCAGCTCTTGTCAAGATGCTGTCTCCACAATGGGATCGTTCCTAGTGTGCTTTGTGGTCTTCCCAGTTCATTGCCTGTGACTACTGTTGTCAGTGGTGGAGAGGATGGTACTGTCATTTCAGAAATATTTTCTATATTATCTTATGTGGCACCTTCAAACAAGGACGCACAAACAGCAGACACAAATAACTTGAAGTGCAGATTAAACAATCTGGTTGTCCATTCATGCCTTCTTTTGGCAACAGTTGCTCAGTGTTTGAAGTTAACTGGGAGAAATTCTGCCCTGATTATGCTCACGACTTCTCCAAAGAAGCATCTGCATCGTCTTTCTGCCATTACTAACCACATTTCGTCGGATGACAAAATTGAAGCTTCTCTTCAGAATCAATCTGCATCAGCTATGCTAGCTCTGGCCTCCATTCTCTCTCTCGAACGGGGATCTTCTGTTGAATCTTCTGTCTCTGAGATTGCTGTGCCTTTGATTCCTCGGGCTGCTACACTCTGTTCTCACCTAAGGCTTGTGCCAAGTAAAGAAGGTGAAGTCATATCTAAATGTTCTGAGTGTCATCTCACCAAATGGCACGGCCTTCGAGATGGATGTATTGGCTTACTAGAATCCAGGTTGAAGTGGGGAGGACCACTGGCTGTGCAGCAGCTGATTGCTAGTGGTACACCTTTACTTCTAATAAATCTGTTAGTCGGGAACCATTCAAATGCTTCCCCTGATGGAGTTAAAAGGACACCCAACCAGATTGGCTTGTCTCCTATTGGTGTTCTATGGACTGTTTCATCAATATGCCACTGTATTTCAGGTGGTACTTTAACTTTTCGTCAGGTTCTTGTGAAGAGTGAAAACCTGAAACTGTTATCAGGTTTAATATCTGATATTCATCTCAAGTTGGTAAAGAACTGGGGAGGACCTGGGGGAGGAAAGGATGGGGTCAGAGAGACAATAAATGTGATAATCGATCTCCTAGCATTTCCTTTTATTGCTCTACAGAGCGCACCTGGTTCACTCTCTGCTACCGCTTCTGTAAATAGTGGATTCATTCTCAACATTGGTTCGCCTGGTGCAAGAGTGTGCATGGAAGATAGGGATTTGGTAAAAGCAATAGAAGAAGACATGGACAGATACATTAAGGCCCTTGTGGAGGTAAGGTTTTGGGCAGATTCAGAAAATGAGGCTCCATTTTCCTAATGACCTATATCCTCATCAGCATTCTCTTTAGCTTCCAAAGTCTGATGAACATTAAAGTTCTTTGGACACTAGATCCATGAGAAGTCTTTGTTTCTTACTAGATTTTTATTGAAATTTCAGGTGGGAGTGCCTAGTTTAATACTCCGATGCTTGGAACACTTGGATTCGAAAGATTTAGGAAGACCCGTTGCGTTTGTAGCGAAAATGGTGGGTCGTCAGCGTCTTGCTGTTGAGCTCATTAGCAAAGGCTTGTTGGATCCAAGCACAATGAGAAAGCTACTCAACCGTTCAGGTCCAAGAGAAGTCATCCTTGATACTTTAATGATAATATCTGATTTAGCAAGGATGGAAAAGGTAAGCTTTCTAAGTTGCACATTAAGAATCTTACTCAATACCTAAAGAAGTCTGTTAGAATGACTTTAACCAACTTTGGCTGAATTACTCCGCACCAATCACAGTTTTAGATGTATGTCGGGTGGATTTAAGTTCTCGATGTGCTGCACTTTTGATCTCCTGCTACAACCTTTCCGATCCTGTTTCCTTGTCATCTAACTTGCCTCGTGCAAATTCCTACAAAAATAGAAACCATTTACTGGATATAGGATGTTGTAAATGGTTTTAATGAAATATTTTCTATTATGAAAATGTCAGGCCTTCTATAAATATATCGCTGAAGCTTCTGTTTTGGAGCATTTAAAGGAGTTCCTCACTCATGAAGATCCAAATGTACGTGCAAAGGCATGCAGCGCTGTTGGAAACATGTGCAGATACAACGGATACTTCTACAGTTCTCTTGTAAGTACCATTAAGTTTGGTATTATTATCACAAACATCGATGAGTTGCTTCTGGGATCGTTAAAACGTTCGGAACAAGTTCTCTTTTCAGTGTTATTGAGCATTCTTCTGTTACTTAATTTGTAAATGTAGGCGGAGCATCAAATTGTCAGTCTCCTCATTGATCGATGTGCTGATTCTGACAAAAGAACCCAAAAATTTGCATGTTTTGCGGTAAGATCTTTAGATCTACAATATTTTGTTTTTCATTTTCATGATAACTTTGATCAAATTTGGAACCTCTACTCGACATTACAGATCGGTAATGCTGCATACCATAACGACACATTGTACGAAGAGCTAAGAAGGTCGATACCACAGCTGGCACACGTTTTGACCTCTGCTGAGGAAGACAAGACAAAAGCAAATGCTGCCGGGGCATTGAGCAATCTTGTAAGAAACTCCAACAAGCTCTGCGAAGACATTGTCTCCAAAGGAGCTATGCAGGTGCTCGAAAAATATCCATAGAAAGCCTTATATCCTGATCAAGTGGTTAAACGCCTCTTAAGTGGTTAAGATTTCGTGATAGGAGTTTTTCACTGTTCATTGAATCATCAATGGTGAAGGAAACGCAGTCTGATATAATTTCTTGGGCTTGTAATCTGTTGCAGGCTTTGATGAAGCTGGTCGCAGATTGTTCAGCGGTAGCTCTAAACCCGAGCAAGAAAGAGACAGCTGGCGAGTCGCCGCTTAAGATTGCACTCTTCTCTTTGGCGAAAATGTGTTCAAATCATCAGCTTTGCAGGCAATTCGTTAGATCGTCAGAATTGCTTCCCGTCATTGCAAGGTTACGGCAGTCTCCTGAGCCAAACATCGCTCATTACGCTTCGGTTATTGTCGCCAAAGTCGGCGGTGACTCTTGAGGCTTAAGGCTTAAGTGTTATGCAAATTCGGGTCAAAATTTTACTATGCCTATGGTTATAATGTCTTATATGGTTAACGTCTGATACATTTGGAAATGCAATACTGTAATCCCTGTATTGAAATCTTGTGTTTTCTCACTGAGATGTTGGAGATCATCTTATATATATATATATATATATATATATATATATATATATATATATATATTTTTA